AACGGCTAGCAAGTCTTCACTGTGTGACCTCTATAGATGCACCATGGATACCAATATGTTTATATGTATATGTGCTCTACTGCAGACCTGATCTACAGAACCTACAGCAGGTGCCTGAGAGCATTGTATTTATCTTCGCGGAGTATGCATACCCTCTCTATGTACAATAAGTATATATACATTCACCCTGACCCATTGAGTGGGCATACATCTGATGCATACATACATATGTACAAGAGTAAATCCCAATGCGACCTACAGAATGCACAAAAGACCATTACAATGTCTCATGCTGGTATCTACACACATCCATCTAAACGTCTACCAACATATGCATGCCTGCACTACATATACATACAAATATGTGCACAAATAACTTCCCATACGACCTACATATGCACAAGTCATATGCACAAGAACTTACCTAATTTGGGGAACCGGCTGTAGGTACCCGAGACCATCACATCCACAGCTGTGGGTACGGCAAATGGCGGCGCTCTTTTCTGCCACAGCTGACTGTGGAAGTTACCCAGGGTGACCGCGGCATTGAAGTAGCTAAGAGATTGCTGGTGCAGTTGGCCCTAAAATATGCAAACAGGTGCAAGGAAGTTCTAGTGCAATCGGCCCTGGTATACGAAATGAGGTGCAAAAGGCAACTCTCACTGCTAAGGTTTCACAACACACCTCCGTCCTTTGGGACACCAGTAGGTTAACAAATAAACACAAAAACTTCATACATACTTACACGCACACATACACACGCACATACACACACATATACACATACGCATAAACTAAGTATGCACATACACGCACACATACACACACACGTATATATATATATACATATATATATATATATATATATATATATACGCACACATACGCACACTCATACACATACACACACATACATACACACATACTTACACGCATAGATACACACACGCATACACAGATACATACACAGATACATACACACACATTCCTGATTGAAACGATAAAGATCACAGCATAGATAACTATACATAGACAGACACCGATAAAAACCTACTGAGCAGCACCACAACATACCAGTTGTGTACACAGTGATAGAAGTAAATTTAAATTTAACAAAGCAAGGGTGTTATATTCACGAATGCATACATACATAAATGTATATATATACATACATACACACACA